GCGTTGCAATTTATGCTGATTTATATGCGCGACGGCTTGCACTCTGAGGAACTTACCGCGGCGCTTTCAGACCGCTTGCGCGCTCTCGTCTCTCTCCGCCTTCTCTCCATGAATATATCGGTTTATTTGTGCACTTCCTTTTCGAATTCTATATCACTTTGCGTTGCGCACGTCCTTCGTCCTCTTTCGTCGGTCGTGCGCACTTTGAAAGGGCTCGCACGAGATTACAACGCCGACCATTAACGAACTTGTCAGACCAATTCGTGTGTGCTTTTTGCACATTTCTTTCGCGCGAAGTTTCAAATAAAAACTGATAGTCTGTGCGAATCTAGTTTTGTCTTTTTTTTTTTTTCACTTCCTACGTATCGAAATACATGCGTGTTTTTTCATGAAAAAAAAAAAAAAAGAAAAAACAACGCAAACTTTGCAGCGCACCAGCGCGCATGAACAGTTCGAAGTATTGCCAAATATGTAACAGGTACGTAATAAATGTAACAGATATCGCATTTATTTATTTATTTTTTTTATTGTTTTTGTTCTGCAAATACAGATTATATTGCATTAGTCGCTGGTTTTAAGAATTATTGCGCTAAGTAATCTCGGGGTAATGATAAAGCCGTTCACACGCGCATTCGCGGTTCTGGACGATAAATAATGAAGACAACCCCCGACCCCCATGCGCGACATGCTTCCTCGTGTTTTACTACAGATATGTGTCTGTTTACACAATCCCTTCTTCTCAGCGTATATACGCTTATTCGTATGTAAACGTGTCTCTACACCCACGTTCGTGTACACCCATTTCTGCGTCATCCAACTCTGGGTGGCACGATTTCGTGCTTTCCACGGAACCGTCCGGCCCAGTTTGCCCGGTACACACAACACAAAGAACGACGTTCCTCACCGAATGCTAATTGACACTCAAACCACCGCGACCTACCTGCTTAATCCCCGTTTCGAAATTTCATCAAAGTGCTGCTGCATTACTAGTTAGTTGTGTTTCTCGTCAAGAACTTAGTCGGATAAATAAAGAGCGCGCACACACACACAGTTCGATATAAGTACTGTCCAAAAAATTCCGGAAGACAAGTGTGTTTCGACGATATTTCGCCGATATTTATTATGTGTAAGCGAAACATCGAAAATTTATCAATCGCATTGCGCGCGTGGTGTTCGTGTTGTTGGATTAATACGTCAAACGCGTCGGAAAATAGAAAGAATGATGATAGATATAAAGATTAATCTTGTCTGTGATATATATATATATATATATAAAATTATTTCTCTCTTTGCGATATACATAAAATTCTCGCGCGTAGTGAAAATATCGTAACTGTCAGCCGACAATCCGATAATTAATGTCTCGTCATTATTAAATTGCACTTGTCACCAATGCACAGTCAGGCTCTTGAAATAAACAAGATCCATTTGATATAAAAGGTAGAGTGTGTTTTATCGCTTATATAAAAATTCAAACTTTATAACTCAATTTAAATAATCAACGCGAAAAATAAAATACCTGACGTTGCAACTCATTGTTGCAACTTATTTCCCCGCGGAATTGCGCGCCGTCGGAAGTTTGCTTAAAAAAAACTCCATCGGCCCCGTCGCGGTGTTGTCGCAGCCTCGTAACTTTGCAAATCAACCCAAGCTTTGAAGAGCCCGGCTCTCAACCTTTTTCTTTTTACCTCTCGCTTCTCAGTTACACCGTCGCACCCCCATCGAACTTGGCATTCATTTTGTTTCTCAAACTTACGTGAGTCTGGATAATTCAATATTTTCAACTAAAAAACTTTTATCGTGATAATTAAAAATCTAAGTATCAAGTTCATCAAGTTGTACAATTTTCTCTTTATTGTATTTTACGTCTCAATACAATATTTCTCGTTTCTCAGTTACACCGTCGCACCCCCATCGAACTTGGCATTCATTTTGTTTCTCAAACTTACGTGAGTCTGGATAATTCAATATTTTCAACTAAAAAACTTTTATCGTGATAATTAAAAATCTAAGTATCAAGTTCATCAAGTTGTACAATTTTCTCTTTATTGTATTTTACGTCTCAATACAATATTTCTCGTTTCTCAGCAAAAGTCTTGCTACATTCTCTTCTTCGTACGTTCAAGTATCAGAGCGTAAGATCATATTGTTACAACTTTAACACGCATTTTCTCGCGCTCGTCAAACAACTACAATTTCTCGGTTACTTGCGGAATTGTTCTTTCGCAACTAAGAAGATTATTTTGTTCGGCGCTTAAATAATAGGTACGCATAAGATCTTTCTGTTCTTAAAATTACAAATGATCGCAGCCTTAAAGTAGCTATTCGCAGCAGATTAAAAAAGATCGTTTATTGTAAATGTGTTATTTCACATCGAATTAAAATTCAATACATTTTTTTATATTTCCAATATAAATACTTTTAAGACAACGATTAAGCTCATTTTGAATACAAACGAATATGCAGATTCTACTCTTACTTAAACAAAGCTTAATCACATATTATTCGATCCTTTCGAATAAATTATCATTTACTAGGTTCGTCATCTCGGTTGCGGCTCGGATGTTTCCCCGATTAACGATCGATAGCTCTTTTAAAGCTCATTCAGCCGTAATGTTTGTGCGCGGTGTTATCTTTCGGCAAAAAAAAAGAAAAAAAAAACAAATAGATCGCGACGCGATTGGGAAGCGGCAACTCTCTTACAAACTGAGAACAGGAATTTCTGAAAAAAAAAAATCGTCTCGAAACCGCAATTTGTACGCACAACCTTCCTGTGCCGCCGAAGCGTTATATCATATCGGCCAAAAGCCGATAAGCCTCTCGCGCATTGGTGAATTTCTTTATTAAAGCCGATGGGAAGAAAGAAAGAGGCAGCGAGGAGAATACCTATTGGAAAAATATAATCGTGATGATATAAAACTGCCGGCGGCACAAGTAATTTACGTGACACGCGTCGGAAGAAGAAAGCCCGATCCCGTAAGGTAGGTTGTCGTGCCGCGCGCGTAGGTATTGCTGATTGTTTTCGCCATTATCGATTCCCGTTTCCCCACAAGAGAAGTTGGGATTCTTGCTCGCTTCCCGTGTTCGTCTCTCTTCTCTCGTGAATATATGATTTCCTATTTCGTTTTATTTATTTCTCCGCGTCTCCGTCGCGCGCACACGCAACCGTACACATAACCCGTTATTGCGGTAATAAATTTCGGTTTACTCGTACATGAGCGCTACTTTACATAATTTCCCTCGATCGAATTCAGCACGTGCTCGCGAGAACACATATATTGTTGTCCGCCCAAAAAGAGAAAAGAATATTCTCTTCCTCTCTCTCTCTCTCTCTCTCTCTCTCTCTCTCTCTCTCTTTTTTTCTCTTTCTTGGATAAAAAAATACACAAATACTATATCTTTTATCACCTTTTTCGCTACTTCGCCTCATTATCTTTATTACACCACCCTCCGCTATCGCATGACGGCGTCTAATAATTGAGTTGCCAAAGCAAAAACAGAGTCGAGATTTATTTTACGTTTTTTTTTTTCACAAACTCCATGCTCAATGTTTTCTTTAATGTGTAAATTCGTGATATTTTATAACACAGGGGAAGGAAGAAGAGAATTCCTTTTTTATCTCTCGACGGAATAAAGATGAAAGTCTGAATTTTTCAAGTAAAAAAAGAAGAAATAAAGAAACGCGGATAGATTGGTATGAAGTACGTGTATATTTGTGTGTGTGTGTGTGTGTGTGTGTGATGTATATACCATTACGAGAGAAAAAACCTTTAAATTTTTCATATCACGGCACTGTCAAAATTACGACGACAAGGTGACACTCTTATGCACGCCACGCCCTGATAACTCTGAACATCTGTCGCCATTTGCACGTCTTGTTACACGAGTTGCGTTCCCCGCACAAACCGATCGATTCGATTACGCCCTTAGTATCTACTAACTCGGCGAGAAACACACGAAGGATGTGTAGATCAATAATATTAATTACTCTAATTGCGTCTATCTCGAATCGCTATATATCGTTTCCCAATGATCGCGTGCGTAACGTAAACACCAATTGACAATTAAGATGACGCGAATTCTCGATAATATAATTTTGTCATTTTTTTAACAGCTAGATTATCGGATGAGAAAATTTGTTTTTAATACAATTGTAATTAAACAATTGTTTTACAATTTTACGTGTCACGTTTTTCCTGTTGCTCTTAACCGCGCGAAGAAGGATAGCCGAATTTTTCCAGCAGCTTCGTCGTCGCGAAATGGGATGATGGCTCTCTCGCGAAGATTGTAAGAGCCGCGCGTGTATGTGTATGTGCGGGGAAGAAAGAAATATTATCGTCTGAGAAAACGGAGAGAAAAGTCGACGCGTACGAATAGCGGCGGGGGATGGTAAAGTCTATTACGTCGCTCGCCATTACGATAATGCCGCGCGACGCGTCTTTTTCGCCGTCTAAAAAAGGATAGATCGTCGCGTAATACGCGTGCGTGAGATACAATGGTTAATGAAGTAACACGACCGCGTCTGAGGAATATGCACGCTTCTTTTCCCCTTTTGACGAAGCGTCCTTAATTGAAAACGTGGATCTGTCGGCTGCAAACATTTTTTTTTCGTCCGGTACAAAACTAGTAGAGAGAAAATGATTGGTGTGTGAAAGTGATATAGAGACGGAGAAAGAGAGAGCGCGAGTATATATGAACCAGTACACACACACAAATCGAGTAAATTGTCCCTTTCAAAATCTCCACTTGCAAATTTTAAAATTTCATTGCGAAAAATTGGTACAAACAAAAAAAAATTTTTTATCGTAATCTACGTGTAGTCGACGTGTGTAAAACAAAACAAAAAAAAAAAACTAGTGGAAAACCGAAAATGGAAAATTGTCGCGGTAAACCGATATAGAGTCGTTCGAAAACGCTACTGTCTCTATTAAAAAAAAAAAAATTTAATTTAAAAAATTGATTTTTTCTTGTTAAAAACGAGAATGTAAAATTCCAAATGTGATATAAAGTTGAAATAAATTGTTTTTCAATTCCAACTGAGATTTTGTGTTCGGTCAAATTCGCTATTGACTTCGTCGTCGTGCTTACCCCGCAAAGCCGAGTCGACATAATCAAGTTTTGTCGAAGTAAATCTACAAGATCCTATACAAAGATTTCTCTTCCGTTCTTTAAACGATATTTATGTTTCTCGGTGTTACGTGGTCGCGCGGTGAGTCTTTCCGGCGAGATGGTTTCGCGCGACCACTTAAATTCCGTTTTTCTTCACGCATTTGACTCCCCTTCGTTTCTCACCGTGCTCGACCGTCTTCGGAATTAGTTATCTCTCTGCGGCCAAGTTGCGAAGACGGAAAACTCGAGAATCTGATGCTCGAGAATCTGTTCTTCTACTGCATAGCTGTTTCCTGAAGGGCGACCAAACGATGATAGAGGCCACCGGCTTCCATCAGGTCGTCGTGAGTACCCATCTCGGCCACGGCGCCCCGATCGAGCACGCAGATCACGTCGGCGTTCTTTATAGTGGCCAGTCGGTGGGCTATGGTGATACACGTTCTGCCCTCCATGGCTTTGTCCAGGGCCGCTTGTACGACCTACACGCAGAAAATGTTCGAGTAATGTAAGAGGTTGTTTGTCGCAAACACGATCGTAAGTGTCAGAGAGATATTTGAAGGAGAACATAAGCGATTACAATAATTTATCGTATTATTGTATAATTTTAAAAAATTTCTTGGTTTTGATCCTTGGGCAAGTTTGATATGCAGGGTGTTGTGCGAGTAATTAGTAATCGATATCTTTTTTTCCAAACGTTTCGGTTTTATTCAGGGACTTAATACCGGTATGATTTTAATACTGGTATTATACTAGAGATTGTATACCGAAACCGATATAGTACCGAAATTGAGTCTTACCGTTACCGTTATAGTACCGAAACCGATACATTACCGAAAAACCGTAATAAAATACCGGTATTATTTCGGTATTCCTATTAATGGTATTCTTAAAAATTAGATAGGTTAATTGAAGCAATTTTTGTTGTATAATTAATTTTCCTACCGCTTATTGGACTTATAGACCGACAAAATATAAAGACGCTTTTTTTTATAAACCAATTGAAGCAGCTATTTCTTCATGCTTTCTTTTATTACGTAGCATGACTAATGTAAATTCATGCGGATGAGTCGAAGATACAAGTGCCAATAGATTTGTAGCATGATTTTCCTAAAGATATATTTTATTTAAAAAATAATCGACACCGTCTAGTATATATAAATATATTTAAAACTACTTACAGTAACTTCATGTCTACAATCATTAATTAAACATAATGATTTGTTGCACGATGAATCATATACTAGAAATACTCGTGTACAAAATTTGCTTTTCTCTGGCCCATGTTTTCGTATTGGACAAATTTATATATAAATTGTAAAAATCGTCTTCTGTTAGTTTCTTAATATAATATCAATTGCTTAAAAAGTGTTATCAACATAATGACAACACTTATAGTTTTAAGATATTACTTTTAAAAAATCACGAAAAAAGTATCGGTAAATATAGGTAAATATACCGGTATTATCGTATACCGGTATGACGTCATACCAGTATATCTGCATTTCGGTTTGCATAAAGGTTTTCATACCATTACCCAAAAATATTGGTAAAATACCGGTATTTTGCATACCGGTATAAGTCCCTGGGTTTATTTTAAACCTTCTTCAGTGGACTTTAATGGAACAATCTCTCCTTGTTTATCAATGACGAAGTGCATTAAAAAAAATTTTTTTTGTCGTTGTCAATTTTTAAAAGAATGAAATAGTCGTTGTATGTCAAAAGCTTCGTCATTACTGTATAATTTTTATCGTATTATTGTATAATTTTTAATGATTTTGTTTTAAAAGTATTTTATTCGTAATATTAATAATAAAGAAATAAATATTGATTTTAATTAGACCACACATCTGATAATCTATTTCTCTCACGCGCATATGAACGTATGCATATCTCCAACAATTCATGTGTACGAAGCAAGACGCGTTGCTGTGGCGCAAATGTTAAAACTAATTACCTGTCATTAGTAATATATAGTGCGCGCGCGCGCGCGCGCAGTACGCGCGTCTTTCCTTGTTTCCGCGATATAAATTATTCAGCACACTTCCCGGAACCTCTAATTTCGTAAACGCGAGCCAATTAACTCGACGAACGGCCCGAGAGAGTTAACGCGAAGCACACTTTTAAATCGGGGACGAGCGCCGATCCGAACGGAAGCGTTCAGAACTAATCGAACGTAAGCACTTTTCCGCTTTTGTTTTACGAACAACAAAAGAAGTGGCTGGAGCGCGCGGGGTCGGGAACGGGCGGGATTGTGTGCCGATGGAAGGTCGGGCGCGAAACAATATCGCGCGCCGCGAAATTCATTTGGCCGCGACGAGCCGTTTCCCGACCGGGGCGCAACAACCGGTCGCTCGTAAAGCTGGGTATTTCCGATTGTTAGCGTCGATAATACCGACAATGGGGTTGCAACCGGATTCGTTTCCGGTAATTTCGACAGATCGACATACGCAGCCAAAGAAAGAAAGAAAATCGAAGTGCGCGCTGTGAGAGGGGAAGGAAATATTTATCTTGATTTCGAAAATCCGCGGCTTTTCGTTTGGAACGGATTATCGCGCAATTTTATTTTTTTTTTTTTTTTTAACGAGATTGCTTTGCGAGCGAAAATGGAAAGATGTGATTGCGCTGTTATGCAATTTGCGTCGCTGTGACGCGACAGAGGGCTAATCCACGGGCTCCGGCTCGAGCATCATCGAGTTTTAATCGAACTCCGTGGGAATTATCATACAAAACGCCGCGTCGGTTTAGTAGTAACGCGCGATATATATTCGGCGTTATTTCGGCAGCGTGCTCTTTGATTCGCTCTTATTACTTGGATTTTTCATTCACATTCGCCGTCACGTTAATATTCATCGAGTCGATCGGTTCGCATTATCACGAAATCTCTGCGCGATCAATATAGGTCGGTGCACTCTCTTTCTCTCTCTCTCGATACTCGTAAAATACTCAGATATTTATTTATTATCTGACGCGCTGCCGAGCGTATCCGCGGGCACACGTTATTGCTTATCGGAGAAATAGTTATGTTCGAAACGTATACAACAATATTTTCGTCGACACACATTTGTTTCAACAGTCATTTTTCTTCGCTAAAAATATATATTTAGCGATATTCACTTTGATCGCGAACGCGGCCAGCATGAGAATTAAATAATTCATTTGGAGATTCAACGTTTCTGTCTTGTTACTAATTTCCAAGTAGATAATTTATTTTTTTTTTTTTTTATTTTTTTTTTAAACTGACTGAATCTCACGGAAAAGAGAGAATTCTCGCAATTTTTGTAATTGCATAAAAACTATGTGTATAAAAAATTTTCTCTCTATATGCGCGGAGATTTTTCTCTTTATAATTAAAAGGTCATTTCTGATTTCCGCTGATGGGTTTTTCTTTTACTCATTTGCCCATTTGTTTTGTGCAAAAAAAATATAAAAACAAATACCAAACATTTGTTTTTCGGGATCTTACAGATACGTACAGAACAAAACGTTCTGAACGACTATAACAAGGATACAATGCAACTCCGGTAATTGCGAGCGCATCGGACTGATTTTTCCTAAAATTCGAATTTTATTATTTTTCTACTCTTCCAGCAACCTTGAGACTGGTAGCAAGAAAGATATATGTTTCTCCTTTTCTTAGAATTAGAGTGGGAACAGACGCGCATTCTATGAGTTGCTCAGTCACTCAAGAATATATTGGGGAATTATCTCACTATTGGCCCGTTCATAAAAAAGAAATCAAAATTGTGATGCTCAAAATTAGATAAAGTTCTACTGTATTATCAAATGTGCGTCAACAAAAGTTGCGAGGATAAGATCCGCGAATGTGAATCGCCGGAGTAAAACCGCGTCATTTTTTCGACGTAAATCCGATAACCCGTCGCCGGTTAACTTGAGGAGAACGATAACGCGACTACATCTTCTTCGAGGAGATTTTCAATCAAATCCAATCTGATTTTTGATCATCAATGTCCGCGATGATTCGAGACGTGATTATCTCTTACCGAGGCGTGTAATCCCGTCGATTAAAAAATTTCTCGTTAACAACATTTGAGCGATTTTCATTCAAAACGTATGCTACGTAGCAGAATTCAAGTTATTAAGAGGATATCGACTATAGAGTTCTGTATATACAGGGTGTCCCAGAATTGCCGTACAATCTCTCGTAGGCAGGTAGAAGGAATAAAACTGAGTCGAAAAGTCCTGAACCATTTTTTTCTATTATTTATAATAAAGGAGTAATTATTGAGTAAATCAGGCCAATCAGCNATAAAACTGAGTCGAAAAGTCCTGAACCATTTTTTTCTATTATTTATAATAAAGGAGTAATTATTGAGTAAATCAGGCCAATCAGCGCCGACCTTTAGCCAGGCGCACGTCAGTGAACTGCGCGGAGTGCTCACACACACCAGGCGCGTGGCTCACTGATTTACTCAACAATTACTCCTTTATTATAAATAATAGAAAAAAATGGTTCAGGACTTTTCGACTCAGTTTTATTCCTTCTACCTGCCTACGAGAGATTGTACGGCAATTCTGGGACACCCTGTATATAAATCGACGTTTTTAATTTTTCTCTAGTTTCGTATTTACTGCATCAAATCAAAAATGCTTCTGCAGAAAAAAGTAAATTGTGTTGAGAGATGGCGCTCTTCCTTTGGAATGTCAAAATTCAGCATAAATTTTTTCTTATACAGTTTCTCCTTCTATAACCTCGCCATATATTCATGTGTGTAAACTTATTTCGGTAATTCTGCAGATTAGGGGAGCCACCTCGGATTTGAATAATTTTTACATATGTTGTAAAGGTCATTGTCTCGAGTAATAATGTGAAGGTTTTAGACCGCGGACGTTGTTTGTTAAAAAGTTACAAGGCAAAGAAGTCTACTGAAATTGCATATAACAATATGCAATTTCTCGACATCCTATGTATGAATATGTGTTCTGCAGTTGTACATGTAAACGATTGGACGCTCTTTTTGAAATAATGCCTGTTACATATCCAATAAATGAAAATATAAATGAATAAATAATTAAATAAAACAAACATAAGAGATTTCGATCCCACGTACATTTCGTTCGCGTTTGAAGCGCGTAGACAGGGGGGCTGTGCCCCCCTGCACCCCCTCTAAAACCTAACCTAACCTAACCTCCAAAAGGGGCTTTGCCCCTTCCCCTGCTCCCCCCTCGAAAATCAAGTACCCAGTTTTCACAAGAAGCGAATGTAATCGAAAGTCGTTATTTTTTCCCGAGGGAGGTTAGATTAGGATTAGGTTAGGTTAGGTTAGGTTAGGTTTTAGGGGAGTGGGATGGTACCGTCCACCCTGGGGGAGAGGTGGTTTAAGCCGCCGCTGGACCGCGCGAGTCGGAGTGGGGGCTCCGGCTCGCCCTGCACGTGGTCCGTGTGGGGGTGGCACTGTGGAGTGTGTCCCGCAGTGTCACCAATCAGGGTAGTGGAGCGCCTTTAGGTGTAAGGAAGAGGCTAAGTCTCTTCCTCAGGATTATTTGGCTCCAGGGAGGGACTCGCGTGCATGATGGTAAAGCGATCCCGGGTCTTTCCCTATTATGAGCAGAGTGGACACACCGTGGGAGTTTTAGTGGGTAACCCTCCCCTCCGCCTGAGGGCGGGAAGAGGGAGTCCCACATAACCCCGACCCTCCCCCCCGGGGGTCCGGGTATCCATAAAGGATTTCTCCCACGCAAAAAAAAAAAAAAAAAAAAGGTTTTAGGGGGGTGCAGGGGGGCGCAGCCCCCTGCCTACGCGCTTCAAACGCGAACGAAATGTACGTGGGACCGAAAAATAAGAATTCATTCATGAAACTTCTTCCCCTCGTAACTTTTTAACAAACAACGTCCGCGGCCTACAATCTTCACATTATTATTTGAGACAATGACCTTCACAACATATGTAAAAATTATTCAAATCAGAGGTGGCTCCCCTAATCTGCAGAATTATCCTTATTTCTAAGCTTATGTACGTATTTACACTTTCACAGCGCAACAGGTACAACAAAAAAGAATCTAATGAGACACCCAGATTAAGATTGGAATGTGTAGTTGACGAGAAAAAAGCAATTCTCTCGTGATGACAGTACAGGTTATCATATGCTATCTTTGTAAATGAAAAAAAAAAAAAAGAGCATTATATACTCATTTTCAAAAACACTATGTAGGTTTTTATTTGCTTCTGTAGAAGCATTTTTCACGCGATGCAGTACACAAAATTAGAAATTAGAGAAATTTACGTTTCTAAAACGTCGATTTATAGTCGTTATCCAGTTACCTCTTAATTAGTAGATTTTTTTTGATAAAAGTAGTTTTGCTAGTTATTTTTCTCACGAGAAGTTTTTTAAATAGATTTTTTTTTTGTTTGTTTCTTACTTTTTCACTTTGAGTGTCGAGGGCTGAAGTGGCTTCGTCTAACAGCAGAATTCGTGGATTTCTTAACAGCGCACGCGCAATGGCTATGCGTTGTTTCTGGCCGCCGCTCAGTTGCGTGCCTTTTGTGCCCAGCCTCGTGTCGTAACCCTAAACATACGAAAAGAGAACGTACAATTTTTTTTTGAACATTTTGAAAACTTGTCTCTGTAATATTATGAAAATAAAAAAATTGCGACTGACCAGTGGCAGCGAAGTGACAAAGCTGTGGATGTTGGACATCTTGGCGGCGTCGATAATTTCGTCCATCGATGGCTGCCGGCTGTTATCGCCGTAAGCAATGTTATCCGCTATCGTTCTATCAAAAAGCACCGGTTCCTGCCCCACCACGCCGAGCTGCGATCGGAGCGTAATCAACGAAACGGACGAAATATCACGCCGGTCCAGAGTCACGGTGCCGGCAAGCGGATCGTAGAGTCGCTGAAGCAGTTGAATGCAAGTCGATTTTCCACAGCCGCTTTGGCCCACAAGAGCTACCATCTGACCCGGCTTGACAATTAGATTCAGCCCTTTAAGCACCGACATTTCCGGTCGCGTTGGATAATGAAAGTCGATCTTGGAGAATTGGATCAAGCCTTCCGCTTTCTGAGAAGCAAAAAAACGTGAGGTGATTCTAAGTGTTAAATTAGAGAAGATTCTGCGCGCGTTAATCTCATATTTTATTCGCTTCTCGCTGCCAAGTGATTCAATTCTTGACGTTCTGTGATACGAAAAGTGGAAAAATTTATTTAACTTTTTCTGTTGGTTTTTTTTTTTTTTTTTCTTTAATTTTTTTATTCCTTCCTCTTTTCGGGTAGGTAGGTTTCGTAATCGGAAAGGCTGTTAATAGCGTGTTTCGATAAATTATTGGAAATTTTTGAATTTGACATGGTCTTGCCGCGCTACGGTAATTTCATTCGACCGATGTGATGTTCTTAAATGTATTGCTCCAACAAAGTCACTTCAAAGTCAGTTTCGAACGTAATTAACGTGACATTGCTCGAGGCTGTGCTAGTACACCAAATAACCGTAAATTTCCGCTGGATGTTATATCATTTGCGCAAGCATTTTCGGTTCGGTGAACACGCCGCGTTGCGAACGAAACGGAAAATTCTCTTCGGTTCGGAAATTAAACTTGCATCCGGCAATCAGTGACGTGCATACAGCAAGGCGTTACGGTAATCACACGATTCATTTGTGCATTTGCCGTTCGCGAATCATTAAAATCGCTGTTTGCGATCCTCGTGCGTTCCTGGTGCAGCCTAATGGTACAGCTTGGAAATTCCGACGTTCTGCAAAATCCCAAATTAATAATTCCCCGACGATAATTCCGAGATAATGAATCTTAATAGACCTTTACGCTTCGCGATCAGAAAGAGAAAGAGAGAGAGAGAGAGATAAAAGTAAACCGTTGTTGCTTAAAAGCACTTAGAAAACTTTTATGGAAGTTCATGAAAGAGAGAGATTCCGGAAGAATTATTTACTTAACTTAAATTATTAAACTTAAATTATTAACTTAACTTATATATAACTTAAATTATTTACTTAACTTAATTATTTACTTTACTTAACTTAACCTAACCTAAGCACAAACACAGGCATGTGTAATGCGCGCGTTATTACTTTTATTTATTATAAACGTATTCCGTCAGTGAACACAACTTGTCACCGCTATGACAGCTACCCTAATAGGCAAATTGTGAAAATATTGCACAAAAATGACATCATGAATGACGACGATTTTGCAATGATTGGACTAAAGTGATTCGCCATAACGCAACAGTTTTGTCGAAATAAAATTTTGTAAATAATATTTGTCAGAAATTGCGAAAGAGTCGTTATGCATTTCCATAAGTATGTACATGAATTAAGTTGATTTCTTCATATGCAATTATATTTCTACATATTTTGAACATACCTGAAATTTTTTTCTCAATTATTAGACAATTTTTTTTTTAATTAATTTTGCAAATATACTGCTAAGATGATCCCGAGTCGAAATTTAGCGTCTACATTGAACCTCAATTTCTCTTTTTTTTATAGGAGTAAGAGAAAAAGTAGATCGTACTTTGACGCTGCTACACGTCCGAAATGTCCTTTTTTCCTGCTAAAGTTTTAAAGTAGGGTTCAATTCTCAGATCAGACTGTGCATTGCAGGCTCTGATAGGCTCAAAATAGGCTCTGATAGACTCAAAGTAGGAGTAAGAAAAAAAGTAGATGCTACTTTGACGCTGCTATACGTCCGAAATTTCCTTTTTTCAAAAATTGAGATTCAATGTAGACGCTAAATTTCGACTCGGGATTCGCCATATCGTTATTCTTTTGCCGAAATAGTATTTGAAAAGTAATTTTGCAAACAATTACAAATATTTTATAAAAAAAATCAATATTTTTACATCTATTTCCTAAAATATATATATATAATTGCAAATTACAATTTTAGTGCAAGATTTTGTTACATAATTTTGTAAATGTTTTTCTATCAGAGTAGTACAGATACGTGCGACCCCCATGAACCACATTTGAGAAACGTTACCAAGAAAACTGTCACCCCAATCAACGTCGCGATAAAAGTGGCAGCAACAATCAAAATTTGATAGAATCGATTGTGATTATTTATACACGCTTTTTCTGCGGTCCGACTCTGATTAGAATAATTGTTTTTAGAAATTTGAGCATATATTATATATTTGTATACTTTTTTGCTCTTAATTTAACTCATTTGATTATCCTAATAATCGAGATAATGTAGTTGCTTTCTTTATCAAACAAAAAAAAATTAATATAATCGCATAAATTTTGAATATAGAAATTCACTAATCTATCGCACAGTGCGATATAATAAATCACGAAAGCTAATAATAATTTTACGATTCAGCGGTTAATTTAAATGCCTTGCTCAACGTCGCGCAAATCTCGATTAGCGCTTTATAAGAAACTAATTAAAAGTAATTAAAATTAATTATACACGTTCTGTGCTTTCATCGCGTTTTATCACAAGTATATAAGTATGTATTATCTTTCATCCTTCTTTAACTTGGATGTCTTGTAATTTTATTATTATCAAACATTTTTTGACAAAATTGCAAACCAATTCTAATTTGAATCTCGCAAATGTTTGTTGTTTGCTAAGATGTAACATGCACGTATAAAGAAACGTTGCGTAATTGTAATCAAAAAATACTTGTATACGTGGGATTTGTAAAATATAAACTCACACGTGCGGTGTAAACTCACCCAGTCTAGATCCTTGTTTTCTGATCCCGGTGGTGAGCTAATTTGCGGCACTCTATCGAGCAGTCTGAATATTCTGCCGGCCGAGATCTTGGCCGTGTTGAAATTGGGCGCGAAGGCCAACGCCAGACCGAGCATCCACGAGCCAAAGATCAACGCCTCGGACACTTTGATGACCTTCTCGTAACTCAGACCTTCCCTAGCCACGAGATATCCACCGTAGTACAAACTTATGGCGTATGCGAAGAACGGTGTTGTCTGCCCGCACGCAAATACCAAACCTCTCAATTTGTTCTTCTTTCTGGTCGCTTTGAGGACATGATCCAGCTCTACGCAGTATTTGTTGAAGAAGAGCTCCTCTTTGTTGAGACTGGCGACCGTGCGGATATTGCTGATCGCCTCGACGGCAATTCGCGTGGCCTGTTCCATCTTCTTCTTCTCCTGCATACTCTGCCCGCCTATCACTCTTGCCTCGAAGAACACCGCGCCAAGCACCAGAGGTATGGACACTAGCGAGACCAATGCCATCTTCCACGTGTAATATAACGACAGTCCACTGCCGATCACGAGAGTCGAGAAAGCCTGAAGCATCGATCCTACGCGGGTCCCGGTGGCACCCTGAATTGCACCAGCGTCCGAAGACAGTCTGGCACAGAGCGCGCCCACGCTGTTCGCGTCCTCGTCGTACCAACCCATTTCCTGTTTCACCATCGCGGTAAAAGTTATTTTTCTAATTCGCGCGGTCATGCGCACGCCGGCCAGACCAAACATGTACATTTGCAAAAAAGTGCCAATTCCCGTGACCAGACCAACGACGATGAATAGTATCGAGTAGTCGATGGTTTTCTGTTGGATCTCCTCCGGATCTTCTAAGCCCAGCACTTTGTACACCTCGCCGAACAGCACGGCGAAGGCTGGAAAGGACGCGCCCACTGTCGCGGCTGCGATACATCCTGCGTCAGGAAAGAAATACGAGTTAGACTTTAAGTAAGACGTTATTTAACTTATTTAACTCAATAAATGAATAAATAATTAGTCTTAAAGAGCCGTTCGCAGGATGTTGTGCGGAAAATATGTCTTATATATGTGTGTACACATATATAAGTAAAATTCACGTTTTTCACGTGTGTTTTTCGAATTGAATATTTTAAATCAATTAGGGGAGGGGTATTCGGGGTCTATCATATATGAGATGCAAAACTAGCATTCTATATGAATTTAAGAATTGAAATTTCAATTCGAAAAACACACGTGAAAAACGTGAATTTACTTATATTAGGTCTACCGGAAAGTTCTGTCCGTTTTTGAAATAAAACAAAATACAAATTTTTCTTAATTTTTCAAAAATGGGATATACAAATTGCCCTCACGCTGGCAAGAAATCATTAATAATAACGGCAATTATATTATTTAATAAAGTTTATTGACGGTAAGAAAAATTTGTATTTTGTTTTATTCCAAAAACGGACAGAACTTTCCGGTAGATCTAATATATGTGTACACACATATAAGACATATTTTCCGCACAACATCCTGCGAACGGCTCTTTAAGACTAATTATTTATTTATTTATTAAGTTTAATAATTTTCATGAGCCTGAGGAGATCCTCAATTTAATATTGATTGTTATTTAACTTAGTTGAAAATATTCCAGAAGTGGCGAGGCAGTTGGAGTCAAAAGCACAGTTGTTGTTGTGTATAAATGTAATAGTGATGTCCTTTATTTAATATTTTACAAAAATGACGTTTCGACCCTAGTTTTTGGTCTTTATCAAATTCATTCTACGAAAAATTGATCACAAAAAATTAACAAAAATAAATAAAATATGGAAATATTGTTAAAAAATATTTCCATATTTTATTTATTTTTGTTAATTTTTTGTGATCAATTTTTCGTAGAATGAATTTGATAAAGACCAAAAACTAGGGTCGAAACGTCATTTTTGTAAAATATTAAATAAAGAACATCACTTTTACATTTATATTGTTAAAAAATATTGTTAAAAAATATTTCCATATTTTATTTATTTTTGTTAATTTTTTGTGATCAATTTTTCGTAGAATGAATTTGATAAAGACCAAAAACTAGGGTCGAAACGTCATTTTTGTAAAATATTAAATAAAGAACATCACTTTTACATTTATACACAACAACTGTGCTTTTGACTCCAACTGCCTCGCCACTTCTGGAATATTTTGAATATTTAGAGTTATCTGTTTCTTTCTGATTTGTTAACTTAGTTGTTTTTTTTGCCAGCTTAAAAATTACCAATCAAGTTGTACGGCCATTCCGGTTTGTTGAGCGAAAATATTCTCGTCATAGGCGCGTCGTAAGGTTTCTCGTGCTCGTCCAATTCGTCTTCCGAAGATTCCGATCTTGCGAGCGAGAGTCGATGAGAATGCGCGGACAGTGTTGAAAACTGTTTGGTCAACAATGGCTTCGGTTTCATTTTCGGACTTGTCACGATGGTTTTAGCGGGTTTCACGGGTTTGTCTGACGATGCATAACAGAAAATTAACGATGCACTTCTAAACACATACTAATAAAAAAAAAAGCGAATGGTGTAACATCGAAATACACTTCTCTGACACACGCACCCGTGACTTGAGCATTCTCGTTAGCGGCATGCAATCCGTAATAATGGTTTTTCATTGCCATTAATTCCTCGTGGCTTCCTTGCTCGACAACGACACCGTCTTTGATAAAAACAATCCTGTCGACATTTGTAATCGTGGAAAGTCTATGGCTGACTATGATCGTTGTTCTTCCCTTCGCCGCGACGTCGAGAGCTCTCTGCACCGTCGCTTCGCTGTGAACATCCAAAGCTGAGGTCGCCTCGTCCAACAAGAGAATCGCCGGATTTCTGGCCAATGCGCGCGCGATGGCGATTCTTTGTTTTTGACCGCCCGATAATTGAGAACCTCTTTCACCCACCGGACTGTCGTATCCCTGTATATATTCGAAACAAATATTTTAAATTATATTCTCTACCATTTACATTTTTATTATCTCATAAATAACTTCGCAGAAAGTTTAGGAAGACTCGGAACTTTCTTTGCGAAGAGAGTCCGCGCGAAGAGTCTCGTGTAATTTTTTTTTTTTTTTTTTTTTTTTTATCTCTTCTAACCGCCAAGAACTATATCATTGCGCATTTGCGGCCGCAGGTGCGCGGAGCGATGTACAGTGATCACAGTGATCAATTGGCCGAGAACGGTTTTTTGCGAGAGACTCGCGATTTAAAATAACGGTTATTTAATCAAGAGTGTAGAGCGCGAAAAACAGATGTGTTGTGTGCGCGCGTGTCACATCTGCGCGGATTTTACATATATTCGCAAATTACCACGCGCGTTTGCTGATAAAAGGTTGCCTCTCTCCCGAATCCCAAAGCCTCGGGGGCTTTATACACGTCTGATAACAGTGGCGTTTACAGAGAACAAAGAAAGAAATATTACCGCTAAATCAAATGTTGTTACGTGCTGTACGATGCGATATTATTTAAATCAATTTGATTGAACAAAATGATGATACCTTTGCTGTGAAATATCATCGCGGCTATACACACGCGACGCGTCACTCGACCACGGTGTTGATAAACGCGGCAGCCCGTTCCCGCTGGGCTTCATTTTTTCAAAACTGCGCATATGGCGAAAGAAAAAATAACGATTGCGTGTTTGAGCCATAATACACACGCGTGAGAATAGCTCGCGATAAACCCCCCATGCAAACGCGGCAACGAACCGACGGGGAAACCATCGCGAGTATCGAATTCACCCTACCGCGATAATCCGCTAATAAACGCCTAATCGTTGACACAAGCGTAATCTCGGATAATGTTATTTGTGCCTGCGCACGGTTTAACACGCACGTGTTTTATCATCTGTTTGCGCGAGCACCGCGCGAACCGCCAGCCGCACCTGAGACTATTGTTAACACATCCGCGCCCGCGCTCGATGACAACGGTTATATCCATTTCGGGAAAATTATTTCTCGTAACGGGGGAGGGGGAGGGAAATTATCCCAATGTTCGCGTGACATTCGTTTGTTTTATCTCTCCGCGCCATACGTGTACTACTGTGATCAAAAAGTAAGGTGAAATTGTCATTTAAAACTCCCGGGCATTAGGAAGGCAGGTAATTTTTTTTTCCTAGGTTGGTAGGACTGTCTATAATATTTGCCAAGCGTCTGTTTGTCAAAAGGTTTAATTATCTCCAAGTTACACGTGTTTTTGTAAACAATCAAAAGTGAATTTTTCGATTTTTACAATGGGTGATTTTGTTGAGCAAAGAACTTGCATCAAATTTTGTTTGCGAAACGAATATTCTTGTGCGGACACGTTGAAAATGTTGCGGAAGGCCTTTGGTGATCAAACTATGGCACAAAAAACGTTTATAAGTGGTACAACGAGTTCTAAGCGGGCCGAGAACGCGTTGAAGACGAACCACGCTCTGGACGACCATCAACGACAGTTTTCTTTGATTATCGTGGTGTGGTGCACTATGAATTCCTTCCGCCGGGCCAAACTGTCAACAAAGAATATTATTTGAACGTTATGCGTCGTTTGCGTGAAGCTATTCGTCTGCAACGGCCGGAATTATGGGCGAACAACTCTTGGTTTCTTCATCACGATAATGCAGCGGCTCACACTGCATTGGTTCTTCGCGACTTTTTTGCCAAAAACTCGACTCATATCGTTCCACAACCACCGTATTCGCCTGATTTGGCTCCGTGCGACTTCTGGCTATTCAGCAAACTCAAAAGGCCAATGCGGGGACGCCGTTTTGACACGATTGAGGAGATAAAAATCGAATCGAAGAAGGTCTTGAAGGCTATACCAAAAAAAGACTATTCCGACTGTTTCGAGGACTGGAAAAAGCGTTGGCATAAGTGCATTGTATCTGGGGGGGATTACTTTGAAGGGGATGAAATTGATTTGGATGAATAAATAAAGAATTTACATTTTATAAACAAATTCACCTTACTTTTTGATCACAGTAGTATATCAAGCTCGACGTTTTGTTCTATAATCTCGTAAAAATCTCGAAGTTTCCAACGAAATTTCCAACGAGCCAACGCAAAATTGTTTCTTCGCGCTAATCACACTGGATGTCTCGTTTCGCAAAATACAGGGTGTCTCGAAAATTTTAACCATAGACTTATATAATAGACGGAACATTCGTGTAAGAGGAGCTGAAGTCTTCGTTAAAAGAGACAGAAATAGTCGTGGAGTAGTTCTCTTCTTTTCTAGCAGTGAGTTGATTGATGGCCGCGGCAGGCCGAGAGCAACGAAGATAGAGTTCGAGAGTCAGTTGAGAGAAAGTGATAGTGAAAGGTGATAGCATAGACTTGTGAGATGATTGGTTCCCCACCATCTTATTGTAAGAGAGAGAGAGACAACTACTCCAGCACTATCTCTGTCCTTTAATGTTGTTCTCAACTTTGTCATATAAATGTTCCGTCTATTATATAAGTCTATGATTTTAACCAAGCCGAAGTTTGAAGGTAGATTGCATCAATCTGAACAGAAAAGTTATATACTATATTTTGCAAAACTCGCAATATTTATTTGAGTAGTTAATTAAATAAATGCGACCCAATGAGCGCGCGTGAAGCGATGGTCCGGACGGTGTAGGCGTACGCTTATCAACTAGAGAAACATGGGTTTACTTCGTGCAATGTCCTAGCAACGAGAAACGGAGTAAACGAGCAAGCGTGACGTGTGAGTTTCTTGCGATCAACTGATATATTTGATATCGGAGAAAGCAGATACTGAGAGATAAGAAGGCTTTCATTTTCTTCCGTCACGAAAAAGATATTACTATTAATCGAAGAGAAAAAAAAGATTTTCTTATTTTTCTGTATCACACGGTTTTTCCGTATCGCTCGCCGCTGTTCGCTGAGTTACACCGTCGTGAGAGAATCAGATGATCGCAAACAACCTTCTTACCCTTCTATTTCTCTGTATCGGCGAATATCGGCTGATCTTTCAAGTTGAAGGTAAACAATCAAAAACAAATTAAAACGCAATGTATATATTCCAGACGTTTCCATCAAATTTTTTTTATTGGTGATTATCCTCAGCACTAACTCAAATGAGTTAGTACCAAAGTCATCACACAAAGATCGCTTGATGCACGCCGGCAAGCACAACGAGCCAAAACAATAAATAACATAGACATATTTGATGCTTTCGCGGTGTGTTGTATTAACGTATAAAGATGTTTTTTTTGGGTTTGAACCGCGTTAGTGTCATTTTTATACCGACGTTTCGTGAACATTTCAGCTCACTTCATCAGGGTTTAAGGAGCAACCTGATACTCAACCTGATACCTGATACAACCTGATACCAGTATCAGGTTGCTCCTTAAACCCTGATGAAGTGAGCTGAAATGTTCACGAAACGTCGGTATAAAAATGACACTAACGCGGTTCAAACCCGAAAAAAACATCTTTGTATGTTAACATAGACATACTAAACATCACATTTATTAAAACAATTAAGATATATAGAGATATATAGATATATTAAGATATATTATTTATTTTTTTTATTTTTATTAATTAACTATTTCAATAACTATTGCGTATCTTGCAAAATAATACATAACTTTTCTGTTCAGATTGACGCAATTTACTTTCACATTTCGGCTTGGTCAAAATTTTTGAGACACCCTGTATATTGAAATGTTAATGAAATTAATTACCGAAAATTGTAAAGTAGTTGTGCGATCAAATTTAAGTCTTTTACAGATTTAAATGACACAACTTGCTTATATATATATATATATATATATATATAAATTGGAGTGTGTAACGAGTTTAAATTGTTATCGGAATAAGCTCGTTGAGAAATCAAGAAAAAAGTTTTTAATGGAAGAAGTTTTTTCTTTTAAGTACAATCAGTGCATTTCACTGACAATCAGTGAATATTCATAGTGATAGTGATAGTTATAAGTCTTTTATTGAGAATTAATATATTTTAAATTCATTCAGTTGGAATACTTTTACTGTGCGAATTAATATTTATTCACTGGATCAGTCAGTAAACATGAATACTTTCTAAAATAATTTATAATATGGAAAACATGAATTATTTTTACAGCACGGAAAATCGGAGATTCCAGGTTCGACTCCTGCCCGAAGAGTTTTTTTCGCAATATTTTAAAATTAGTTAGGGGAGTATACGAGGTCTGTCATATATGTAATGCAAATATAGCATCCTATATGAATTTAAGAATTGAAATTTCAATTCGAAACCCATTGTTCATGTAAAAATTTACACAAACATATATGTATATATATTATATATATATATATATATACATATATACACACAAAATACGCAACAAATATCCAGCGTACGGCTCTCATAGACCGAATATTTCGCAATATTTATTTTTAATAATTATAATTATATTTTAAAATTACTTATTTGTATAATTCTAATAATAATATATAATTGCAAAATTGTATAATTGTATAATTATAATATTTTTAAGAGTTATAATGTCTTCAAATAAATTTTTTCTGATTACTCTTTCCGCGCGTTGTTCTAATATTTTTTAATTGTTTTAATATTAATTCATTAAAAAAACTCATTGCATCAGAAATCATTTTAACTAAAGATTCGAACCTAAAACTCTCTGATTATACTAAACAGGCGCTCTACCAATTCAATCACGAAAATTCTCAAGAACAATTATTGCAAAACTAATATAGAGAGTTGAGAATCATAGTGATGTAAGTCACAATTTAGCTATTTCAAGTAAACTAATATTTTGCGTTTGTTTAAAAAATTTTCAGAAACATACTAAAGTTCCAAAAACATATCTACAATCTTAAAAAAGTTTTAAAACATGTCTGTGTATGAAGCATAAAAGATTGCGATGTTCTATAAAAATGGACTTACTTCACTATGTTTCTACATTTTGATTAGTGAAAATAATGAATACACTAATATTTATAATCAATTAAGATTTTTATTAAGTTTTCAAAACAAAAGAGTTTGTTTCGAAGAATTTTATTGATAAAAATCTTAATTAAGTAAATTTAATACTGTACATAAAAATCACTAACTAGTGACAACTGCGAGAAAGCATGGACCTTGTATTTTTTATTGAAATAATAAAGTCTAATTCTGGGAAAAAATAAATTAGATCTAACTTAAATTTAACGATAGATAAAAGAAATGGAAAAATAGATCTAATTAGATCAAATTAAATCTAAATAGATATAAAGTAGATCTAAATAAATATAAAAGTAGATCTATGTAAATTTACTTTTATATATTATTAAATCTACTTTAGATCTACTTAGATCTACTACATTAAAACTACTACAGATTTTCTTAGATTTAAGCAGATCTGAACAGATCTGAGGTGATCTAATATAATAGATCTGAATAGATCAAAAGTAGATCTAATAATAAATAAAAGTGTAAATTTACATAGATTTATACTTACATCTATTTAGATTTACTTTATATTTATTTAGATTTAATTTAGATCTAATTAGATCTCTATTTTTCCATTTTTTTATCTCGTTAGACTTAAATTAGATCTAATCCATTAATTCTCTATTAATTATTATTTGTAGATCTAATCCATTTTTTTTTTTTAATGTCAAGATGTGTCAAAAATGAGTTTTGTTTTATTTATGTAGATATTTACTCACGAAAAAAATACCATAAAAAAAGAAAGAAATTATAAATTACATTTGCATATCATGTGTATTAATATGCTGTTATATATTAGCTCCTCCCATTCTGTGGCTACGGTGTGAGCGTGCAAAACACTGAGCTGTCATTTTGCACGTCGGTGCACGTTTATTCGCGGATCTTTGTTAATTAACATCTCGTTTATTATTGCGAATGATATAGAACGTTTCAACTAAGTATAACCCCTTCTACCTGCCTACAAGTGGTACGGCACAATGACAATTAGCGGACACGTTGTACAAGCAAAATATATTTTAAACGTGTTAATTAATGTACATAAAAATACAAATTGAATTCAATTTTAAAAATTATCAACGATGCTTACTTTGTGCATTTTATATAGGTATGTACATAAATTACTTATTTAACTCTTTGAAATTTAATAACAATATTGCAAAAGACACAATTAACCAGAATTTACTTGTCGTTTATATTTGCGAAAACATCATATTTAAAAAATGTTGTGATTAAATATACTTTGTAAAAGCGACTTAAATATTTGTAAAAAATAAATTATGTAAACAAACGATGTTTGCTAAGGAATTGTTAGGAAAAATAAAAAAGAAAATTTAAAACAAAAAAGTGTAATAAGGTGAACTTACACCACTATAGTTATAAACACTTTATTCTCTTTGTTTAGTAACAAAGTGTCGCCATTTTTTAGCAAAAGAATGAAGTTACATGTAAATCGATTTTGAAGGTAGAGAACAACCCGAAGATTTCGAAAATAGTATTAGGTCTACCGGAAAGTTCTGTCCGTTTTTGGAATAAAACAAAATTTTTCTTACCGTCAATATACTTTATTAAATAATATAATTGCCATTATTATTAATAATTTCTTGCCAGCATGAAGGCAATTTGTATATCTCATTTTTGAAAAATTAAGAAAAATTTGTATTTTGTTTTATTCCAAAAACGGACAGAACTTTCCGGTAGACCTAATATTAACTCAGATTTGAAAAATTTAGACTTACACCACTATGTTTAATGGCATTCAGTGGATATTGCTACCGATTTCTAGTGAAATTATCTGTCATTAAATCAATCAGCAAACTTTTAACCGATTCCCAAGTAAACTAATTTGTCACTGAATTATCAGTGAAATTTTTACTGATTTACTTTAAGAGAGAAATTCTTTTATCGCAAATCAGTAATATTGTCACTGATGTCCAGTAAAAAATTATTTATCTAAAATAATCAATTAGTGAAATTTTAAACTGATTCTACTTAAAAAAGATTTTTAATAAAAAGAAAAAAAAACAGTTAGACTTCAGGGGACAATATCTTCGTTGGATTTTCAATTGGAACGAGGTGTGTGTCGACGTATCTTCTACCCATAGAAAACTGGCTGGAATCAATCGGACTCGCATCCACAGAATGAGTAAAAAGAAGATCATAATTCCGGGAAAAGGGCGCGACTACGTGGAATACGAGAAAAAGGCGGCGGATACTCACCTCCGGCAGTTTGCTGATGAAGTCGTGAGCATTCGCTTCCTTCGCGGCTTTGATCATCTCTTCCTCGGTAATGTTGTCATTTCCGTAGCGGATGTTCTCCCGTATCGTTGTGTCAAAGAGCACCGGCTCCTGACCGACCACGCCGATGTGCGAGCGCAGCCAGTGAACGTTCAACGTCGAAATGTCGATTCCATCCAAAAGAACCTTGCGAAAGAAAACACAAAAATTCTTTCTTGAATATTAATTATGCGCAAAAAACAAACCCCGGTGGTTTTTGAGCGGCAAAAATAAATAATCACGGTTACGGGTGACAAGATGTCAGCAAAATGTAGACGTCAGAATGTAAAATTTCTCTTTTTTTTTTGATATTACATAAATGAAAGTTCGTGCACGTTTTATTCGAACGCGCAAGCGATAAATATTTGTCGGTTGGCACATGCGGTAAATCCAAAAAACGCACGAACCATAAAATGTTTATTACACGAACATACACGGCGCGTGTTACTGTCGCCGCAACTACTTCGCCGTCATAAAAATTGCGTCTGCGTTAACAATAAAACTGCACACACTCTTTGCCACACGACGGGTGCTTCCGATCGAGCTGCGGTAATTCAGTTGATATTGATCTTTTTGTTTTTTTTTTTTTTTTTTTTCCCGGACAAAAGCGCGGAAGCACAAGGAGCTTGCTATTTTCCATCCGAGAATTTTTCTCCGTTGTGAAAACATAAACAGGATAAGCGAGCTGATATCGAACGATAAACGATGCTCGAAGACTTTCGATGGCCCTACGGATGATGGAAAATATAACACGGAGACGATGGCTGTAAAAACAATTATTTCCTGAATAACATCGAGTAAAGCATGACAGCGTGGAAGAACCGTGTATTCAACGCTTCTCTGTAATTTTGCGAGAGATAAAAATATCACTCGGGAGCATTTTACGACGCTACGTATCAACGGTTATTATCTTTTTTCTGCGCAAAATAACACACAATAGTATCGCGGACATGCTATTAAAAAAACAAAAAAACACACACACACACATTACGCCGTTTAAAACTAATGTGCAAAGAAAAGTTTTTTTGCAATATTTTAAAAATTAGTTAAGGGGGTATTGGGGACTCTGCATAAGATGCAATATTAGCATCATATTTGATTTAAGGAATTGTTATTTCAATTCCAAAAAAAAAAAAAAATAAAACTCACGTGAAAAATATTACACGTGAATACATATATATATTAGGTCTACCGGAAAGTTCTCTGTCCGTTTTTGGAATCAAACAAAATACAAATTTTTCTTACCGTCAATAAACTTTATTAAATAATATATAATTGCCGTTATTATTAATGATTTCTTGCCAGCGTGAAGGCAATTTGTATATCCCAGTTTTGAAAAATTAAGAAAAATTTGTATTTTGTTTTATTCCAAAAACGGACAGAACTTTCCGGTATAGACCTAATATATATGCATTCATATATATATTCTCACATTCACGCACGACATCCTGCGAACGGTTCTTCATGTCCTTATATTCATATATTATTAGTTTAAAAGACTTATAGAGCCTGAGAGCAATCTCTATTTGTCACTAATTGTTAGAAAAGTTTAAAGTTTGAATCTTTTGTACACATAATTGTGTACATTGAGATGTTGAAAACTAAAAAAAAAAAAATAATAATCAGCCAATTCGATTGTTGTACCGACCTGTCCGCCAATTGGATCGTAGAGTCTCTGAATGAGCTGGACGCAAGTCGATTTTCCGCATCCGGATCCGCCCACAAGCGCCACCGTCTCCCCGCGATTGATCTTCAAGTTCAGACATTGCAGAACTTGAACGTCCGGTCTGGCTGGGTATCGGAACTGAACGTTCTTGAACTCGATGTCGCCTTTGACGGTGTCCTCACGTCGACCCTCGTTGCTGAAACTGTCGATCTTCGGCACCCGATCGAGAACTTGAAAGATCGCCGCCGCCGATCCTCTCGCAACCGCGAACGCTTCGAGATGCGGCGAAGTTAAGCCCATATTCTGTGCGCCCGATAAAACTCCGAAAAAAACAATCACAAGCACCGCTGGCGTGTACTCTTTCACTTCCTCGTTGCGGTCGTCCTGAATTAATTTCACGCCGTACCTGCGCGCGAGAGAATAAAAAGCTATGCTTTTTACCGAGTCTACAACACGTTCTTCAGAGGTAATAACACTTTTTACCCAAACTTTTTTACCGGGTAACAAAAAAACCGTCGCTATTTGTAATACAAGCGTCAAATTGCGCGCGTTTTTTAGTGGCTTTTATATAGCTCAAAAGATGGATGTTTTGAAATAATCGCGGACAGATATTTATTCTCGTGTTGCATGCGAAACAAAACACATATATACAGGCGTGTCTTGTGCGACAACAACGCGCGCGCATATTCTTACCAAAACGCCAGAGCGTAACTGAGGTAGATGATGAGCCACATTACGCCGCCTCCGACTCCCGACCAAAATCCTCGACGTATACCGGTCTTCTCCGCCGGTATCAGTTTTTCCGCGTATCTCTTCACTTCTTTCTCCTCGCCGTTGAACGACACGACGGTTCGGATTGCGGAGAAAACTTCTTCGGCGACGGTGCCGGCCTGGCCGTAAGCCGCGAGTTCCAAGGCCGAGAGAGAACTTTGCACCTTGGCGACTACGGCCGTCGCGATGACTATGAAGGGCGCGCAGCTCAGCACGACCAGAGTCAATTTCCAACCATATATAAATGAAACGATTATGGAAGCGAAAAACGACGACATTAAATACGTGAAGATACCGAGTTTCTCCCCAATCCCGTCCTTCATCTTGTCCAAGTCTCTGTCAATAAGAAAACAACCTCGGTGATCTCTCAACACTTCAGTAGTTTTTTTTTTTAATCTAATTTGACAGATTTTCAGATTTATATATATACAGGGTGTCCCAGAATTGGTGTAACATCTCTCGTAAACAAATAGAAGGAGTAAAACTGAGTCAAAAAGTTTTATACCATTTTGCTAGATTCGCAATAGTTACCGAGATCTTAATTAACAAAGATCAGCGAATAAGCATGCATCGGGCTGTCTTACGCGCTTAAGACAGCCCAGTGCGCTTCGCGCGCTTACGGTGTTACCTGTAGGAGCATATGGGAGGAGCTAATATAACAGCATATACTATAACATATACATATTAAAATATAATCGTGCAAAGCGCGCTGGGCTGTCCTACGCGCGTAAGACAGCCCGATGCACGCTTATTCGCGGATCTTTGTTAATTAAGATCTCGGTAACTATTGCGAATCTAGCAAAATGGTATGGGACTTATCGACTCAGTTTTACTTCTTCTATCTGTCTACGAGAGATGTTACACCAATTCTGGGACACCCTGTATATATATGAAATGCGACACGTGCTCGAAATTTCTATTCTTTCCGTCAACGTTTTATCAGTGTTTCGCCGTTATCGACGTTATCTCTTATATTCTTGCCGCTTTTTCGCTGCGAGATAAAATATCTTTTGTTACGTAATACGTTCGCTGTGTAAAAAAAAAAAACGATTGATACGATCGAAAGGTTGTTGTAAAAAAGAAAACGAGAAAACTGTTTTTTTGCGCACTAAGAGACGACAAATGTACTTTGCAATTATGTTGCGATCGCGTAGATGTTTAAAACTGTAAGATAAAAAAAATTATATGCATACACCAAAAAAATTATATTCTTATAAGTAGAAGATTTTATACTTAAAAAATCTTCTTAAAGATTTTAGATGATATTCTTCCGAAATTAAGAATATATTTTTTATTTAAGAATATATTCTTAATTTAAGAAAATATAGTCTTTTTCGATAGTGAGATATATATATGTTTTTCTATAGAGGCTTTTTATATTCTAATCAGTATATATTCTATCAATATTACTATTTAGAAGATTTTCCTCTTAAAATAAGAAACTCTTCTTGGCGCCTATTTTAGTATAAAATATACTTAAAGTAGGTGGGATATCCTCAAGACAAGAATACAATTTGTTCGGTGTAACTTTTATATTAGGTCGTCCTATAAATTCGTGCCGCGGTGTGTTTATACTTCTCGCGTTATGTTTTATAAACACAGAGCGATACAATGACTTGGGAGTGACTAATAATATATGAATATAAGGACATGAAGAGCCGTTCGCAGGATGTTATGCGTGAATGTGCTTAAATATATATATATATGTATACACATATATATTTCGAAATAATTTTTTTCCTCGATATAGAATGCTGGATTTGCATCATATATATATGAAGGATCCCGTATACATCGAAATATATATGTGTATACATATATATATATATATATATATATATTTAAGCACATTCACGCACAACATCCTGCGAACGGCTCTTCATGTCCTTATATTCATATATTATTAGTTTAAAAGACTTATAGAGCCTGAGAGTAATCTCTATTTATTACTAATTATTTGAGTGACTCAGCTTTTGTACTTCAGTTTAGTCTGTAGAAGGCATTCGAGATTCACAGGTCGTGAAATTATAAGAATTTTATATTTAATACCCGATAAAATAATGAGCGAAATGCGTGTCCATTTTCGTCATCTCGTGCTGTATGAGTTCCGAAAAGGAAATACGGCAACAAGTGCGGCAAATAACATTTGTGCCGTTTATGGTAAAGATAGTATATCGCGGCTCGTACATGCAGAAAATGGTTTGATCGATTTCGGAAGGAAAATTTTCATCTGGAAGATGAGCAACGTGCCGGACGTCCGTTAGTCGAGGCGGACAAAGACGGAATTCGTAATTTGGTGAACGAAACGAGGAGTTTGTCAGTGCGAGAAATGTCACAAATGCCTAAACACGTCAAAATCATGTGTACGTAGACATTTAAAAGAAATGGGAACGGTGCCAAAGCCATGGACGTATGGACAATGTGATTTTCCATCGCGACAACGCGAGACCACATGTTGCACAAAATGTGCACCGAAAAAATTATATTCTTGTAAGTAGAAGATTTTATACTTAAAAAATCTTCTTAAAGATTTTAGATGATATTCTTCTGAAATTAAGAATATATTCTTTATTTAAGAATATATTCTTCATTTAAGAATATAGTCTTTTTCGATAGTGAGATATATATGTGAGATATATATGTTTTTCTATAGAGACTTTTTATATTCTAATCAGTATATATTCTTATCAATATTACTATTTAGAGGATTTTCCTCTTAAAATAAGAAACTCTTCTTGGCGCCTATTTTAGTATAAAATATACTTAAAGTAAGTGGGATATCCTCAAAACAAGAATTCAATTTTTTCGGTGTGCAAAAAAAATTACATGAATTTGGTTGGGAAATTTTTTATCCCATCCCCACCTTATTCTCCGGACATTGCGCCATCGGATTTCTACCTGTTTCGATCATTACGACAATTATTTAGCTGGCAAAACATTTAACAATGTAAATGCAATAGAAAATGAATTTACAAAAATATTTTAATGATAAACCAGAACAATTTTATACCAATGGGATAATGGCGCTGCCTAAAAAGTGGGAAGAGATTGTGAAAAGAGAAGGTGATTACATTTTTTTTCGTAAGCTTGATAGAGGTAAGATTAAAATATTACTTTATATATCAGAAGAAAAAAAAACGGCACGAACTTGCGGGACGACCTAATATATCTCGCGCACACGTGTGCAAACTGTGCGTTTTATGTGTCTCTCTCTCTCTATATATAACGCGGCGTAGAAACGCATGAATAAGAGCGCTTGGATCAACGAGATCAGTTGGCTCGTGATAAAAATGAATATTCGCGCGCGGCGCGATACTATAGGTATACGTATATATCTCTACTACAACTTAACACGGAGCGGAGTCGTCCGATTATTATACCGATGTAACGCGGAGCGGAAGCAGAGACAGTGTGAGAACAAGCTTTTCGAGTTTCGCGAACGCCCACCTGTTGATGAAACACAAGGCCTCACCTCACCTTCTGAACTTTGCTCTCCGTCTCTCCACATTCGCCGCGTTTACATCTACGATCGCGAAAATCGAAGATGTAAACGCGCTCATTGAGGACGCAGCGACGCGCAGAAGACGCTACAGAATATTACTCCATCCAGTCGATATTTTATCTCGCGAGAGAAACAAAAGATATTGTCGAATCTAATCTCTAATGATACTTAGGATAAGAACAAAGTTTTAAGTAACTTATATGTGTTTTAACGCATGTTTTCCTTCGGATAAAAAAAAAAAAAAAAGTAGATGATATAACGAAGTTCCTCATCGCACGAGTTATCGCGATGACGAATAGAATTTCAATATCAAAGCGCGTTGTGTCTGTTCTCTAAGCGAGAAACACTCACTCGGTGATTCTGCTGGCGAAGTTGGTTGACGTGTTTGTATCGTACCACGACATGTCTTGTCTGAGAACGGCTTTCAGAAACATCTTGCGCACTCTGGAAATTTGATTCGCAGCTGCGACATTAAGCAAATTGACCATAATCGCGGCGATAACAAATTGTACCGCCGATAAAGCCGCGCAAGCAATTCCGAAAGCTACAGAGTCGTCATAGAGAGCGTCCATTCTCTCTTCTTCGGTCGCGTTGGCGGGTCTGTAAAAACAAAAAAAAAATCATTATTTCGTTCCTCGGGTTTGTCGACGCGTTTGCATTTTCGCAAAATTTGTACATATGTTAATTTTTTTTTTTTTTTTTTTTTTATCATATCGACGTACACTGAGAGAAAAATGCTTGGTATTTACGACTATAATTGCATAGTAAAATAATTATAGTTAGAATTCTTATTTTTATCGTTAATATTGCTATAATATTAGTAAAACTAACCTTATATACATGGTTTTGACAAGTATGTAAAAATTTTGCTATAAATTATAATAATTTTAAATAGTAACATAGTCAAATGTCAAATAACAGATGATAAATAAAATACACATTTTTAAGTAATAATTACAATCACAATTATAGTAAATGTGACTATACTGTTAACATCAGATTTACTATAAAAAAGGAAAGAATAAAAATCGCTCGTGTTGTAAAACAATAAAAAATATAAGTCAAAATAAGGTCAATATCGAGCAGTGTTGTTAGGTGTACTGTGCAAATTTAATTAATATTTATAATACATCTATACAAAGCGAAACGTTTCGACATACACAGATGTCTTCTTCAGTCGCAATATACAAATTAAATACAAAAAGTGGCTGTCATTGTATCTACCCATTCACGACAATGACAGCCACTTTTTGTATTTAATTTGTATATTGCGACTGAAGAAGACATCTGTGTATGTCGAAACGTTTCGCTTTGTATAGATGTATTATAAATATTAATTAAATTTGCACAGTACACCTAACAACACTGCTCGATATTGACCTTATTTTGACTTATATTTTTTATCAGATTTACTATTTACTGGTAATAATAACTAAAAAATAAGTAAGGAAAGTAACTTAAGACATACATTTTTATGACTACATTAATAGTCTGGTTAACTATATTTTTAACTACGAATGTACTAAAGATATCGTAGAAACTATAAAAAAGTGGCCAGAAAAGTAATCATTTGCATACAATGCATAGAATCATAGCAATAGTATATTTTAGTAACCACATTTATAAATAGCAATTTACTAAAATAGCAATTTTCCTAAAAACAATAAAAATCATTAAAACTAAAACTATCAGTTTTATCACTAAAACTATTGGAACCATATGCATTATAGATCAAATTATATATAAAAAGTTTAATCTTACTATTATATAAGTACGACTTCTTATTATGGCATATAGTGTTTTTATCTTTCAATTATGGTCCTTATTATCACATTTACAGTACAACTTACTATACACAAATCACAAGTTATAGTGTATGAAACCATGCATATGGTTGTATGAATGCATGTTAAAGCTATGGCAACAATAATATATAAGTCGCATTGTTAAAATAACTATAAAAAAATAGTTGGCACCTTAAATCACTATAAATTATAGTAAAATTGTGGTAACTACAATTATTTTTTGCTCTCAGTGTAACCGAGCAATTATAAAATTTGTGAATTTTGCTTGAAACAATTATCAGAATTTCTGAAACACAAGACACAACGAGAAGTGATGCTTACAAAACTTTCCCGCCTCCGAATAATTCCATTATGATGGTCGGTGTGCTCGTCTCGTTCTTCTTATTACGATCGACCAAAAGTGTGCTGAATTCACCGTACTGAATGGTAAGCACTGGAATGCACAGACCTGTTATGGTGCCCAATATCAAGCCTATGAAGACCAACATCAACTCGCCCCATGTCGCAAATCGGAACTGATTAATGCAAAGTAAATTACTCTTGTATTGCGTGATTATTTTAATTTTTATAACAAAAGTTTTATTAAAATATATTTATATAGATATATATACATGTACCGGGTGTTTCAGACCCGTACACTCCATTTAAAAACGAGGAGATTTGTTATTTTGAATGGTCGGATTTACATCTTTTCGGGGTTAATGTAAGCCGCGAAGAGATGAATAAATCCGACCATGCGATACATCTCCACGCGGCACATCTTGGATAATGTTAACGTCGGCGGTACAAAAATTTTGAAGTCTCATAACTTAGGAAGATCTTAACTAAACAGAGTTTCTAAAATCAATGTTTCAAAAACGCCTTGACGTCAGCTACAAGAATATGCAATGAAATTTATGGGTTTCCATTTAAAAAATTCAAGTCGAGACCTTGACCTGACGCCATCCAGAGTCGATCACATATGCTCGTGTAATGTTTTATTTAATCTTCAACAACTATTGTCTGAAACATTTTTCAAAATAACCACTTTTCTTGTTTTTAAATGGAATGTACGGGTCGTCTAAAACACCCGGTATATAGAGTAAACTCGAGTATTATATCATACGGAAAAGATGGTCATAGACTGTAATTTCATCAATAATTTAATAATGCATTATTGTAGTCATTCTTAAAGATAATCAGTATTTATAATAGTTTGTGTGCGCACACTATTTAAAATAACAATAATGTAAATAATAATGTAAAAACATGTAAATAATAATGTAAATAAAATAATGTAAATAAAATAACAATAATGAAAATTAATATTTTTACTTTCTATTGCTCGCAAAGTTTTGCATATATCCACTAAAAGCTGCTATAACGTCGAATAAATTGCAGTTAAGCTGCTGTAATCAATATTACATACACAATAAAGGTACATAAACTGTAATGTAATTAATTTGAAGTTTCATTTTCATTATTTATTTATAAACACTATAGTCATCTTTTCCTTACACTTCGGGAAAAATGGCCCATATATATATATATATATATATATATATATATTTTTTTTTTTAATGATTAGTAGTATAATCTACAATATATTTAATCATCGAAATAAACAGTTTTTTTTGCTAAAAAAATCGTTTTTATAGTTTAAAGTTATCTCATCGTTGCGTTTCATAATTAAAAAAAATACTGTGCATGAAAACATTAACAACAATAAGTAATAATCTTTTACGTACAATAAATATATTCTATTTAACATATAAAAAATTACTAAATATATAATTAAATTACATACTTATAAGTTTTACTTGTATCTTTTACAAAAAAAAACATGTACGGCTAACTGTCCTGTAATAGTATGGCCAACTTTTCTCTAAAAGTCAGGTAAGTTGGCCAATGCGTACATTTTAATATTTTGATAATATTAAATTTCTCTTAAGTGTATTGTTTTTAATTTCAATAGTTGTTATTAGTTTAAGCTTCAGTGATGTGAAATAAAAAAACAACATTAAAAAATAAAAATAAAGTTGTCTGTTTTTTGTATTTAAAACAAACTACGGCTATCTTATCTGGGTTTAACCCCCCGGGTTTATTCTATATATATCAAACACAAAAACAATGATTTATCGTATTAACGAGTTCAAGGTAACAAAGTGTTCGAAAGTTTCACGAACGTTGATTCTCCGGTGATTCAGCGCGGCGAAGTTGTGTGTTTTTGAATGATTCAGCAGCGAAATTGCGCTTTCCGAAAGATTTAACTTGTAAAATTAATATCTGACTAACAATGATTAACGAGCAACAAATTTCCGAAACCGTTGTTACCCAAAAACCGTATTATTCAAAATTTACGATGTCATAAAGAACATTGTTCAAAATGAAAAAAACAAAAAAACAAAAATTAGATTTCGAAAAGATTTATTAATTATGACAAATATAAAAAACTCACAAGTTCGCAGTAAGACACAGGTGGCAGTAATGGTGGCTGTTTCGGTTTGCTCTCCTCCTCTTTCGTTTGCGGTGGCACGAATTCCCTGCGAACAAAGATCGCACAGATAGATTGATTAATTTTAATCCTTGCGATTCAATTTGCGTTTGTTTGTATATACCCCGGCACGCGATCGATTCTTCCTTTCTACACACGGAATTCTCAAACCGCAAACGGTAACATATATATATATTTGTTACGTCCAATTTGCCAATCGATGCTTACGAACAAACTTGACTTTTCGTTTTCGTAAAAAATCAAGATGTAACAAGAAAGTGTAACGGAGAACGTATTTTTCGCAAAACGTATAAAAGAAAAATACGTATACTCGAAAAATCCGAGAAAAATTAGAGAAGACGTTCTCGAGTTACGACGTTCTCGTTGCATTTGCGGAAGATGCTTCCGCGAATATCCGGAAGCGTCTCACGAGAGAATAAGAGCGATAAACGATCGACGTGGTTACTTTTACGGAACGATAAAAAAAAGGACGAGAGAAGTTCTTCGATGCCGGAAGCATCCTCGTAAAAGCATGCGTTCGTACGAAGGTGTATACGGCCTGTAAAAGTTTTATGCGGATCTCCTCCGGCGACATCGAGACGTTAATAAGCCGGCGAGAGTTCCGTCTCGCCGTCCAAAGTTTCCATTTTATCCAGAGTCTCGCATTTATCTCTAGATATATATATACATATATATATATATATATGTACGCACACATATGTATAGACAATTTGTAATAAAGTTCTCATTCGTACATTGCTTTGCCATTTTCCTGCAGCATATACTCGGCTTCATCTTTATCCTTCTCCTTGTCTTGCTCTGTGTCTGAAATGAGACATATGACGGTACCGTACACACACAAAATGACACTGTTGCGTGCAAATACGTGCAGCTCATATATTGTCGTTAGTTTATTACGTTATACGTCTTTATTACGTTTCTGAAATTTTATTACATTCGACGCTTCGCGCGCGCGCGCTTATCTGGATTATCATATTTTCGGTTGAGAAACGAACAAAGTTGCGGTTGTACGCGTGTGCGCGTATAAATTTTATTTGCCCGTCTTGATCAACGCGCGATCGCGTGATCAAAATCACACACAAATCTGTCATTATCAATAACATTATCAATAACATTAAGAGATGATATCACGTCCAAGAGAATTTATTTGACAACTACTCGCAAAAGAGGGATTTTCCCAGTTGAAAGTCGTAATTTAAGAGGACGGACTTTTCTAAATTGGCAATTTGAAGATCAACGAGAATGCAGGAAGCTCCCGGGCAGGTAACTTGGTGTGAGTGCGCAAAAACTACCGGGATCTACGAAAAGTTTCGACATCGTCGTCGTCGTCGTCGTCGCAAAGCTTGGGAAGCCCGAAGAGTGAGTAGTTCCAGATGACAGACTTTAGCGAAAGTCGGTCGGCATCTCTCCGCAGGGGCTCCATTAGCGACGTAATTGCTGTTAGAAACTCCCGCGACAAATCTACGATCGACGGCGGAATATATATAGGAAGCTTTGCCACCTTGAAGTAATAACAGTGCCGTATAGCCATCGTCACGTACGCTTGAAGATGCGTGAGCGAGCGCGAATAGCAATTACGCGTTAGGTTAGGTCTTCTGCAAAATCTCAAGTTTGGAACGCATCGAACACAAAATTCTGCGTGACAAAAATTTTTAACGTAACGCGTACTTTTCCTTTGGAAATGAATAATTATCACGGAAAAAAAAATATGTAATGATGATTATATAGAGCTTCAAGAATTTTTAAATAATAATGAATTTTGGCTATTGAAGCAGTAACACTGTTGTTGGAGTGTATATATTAAAATCCGTTTATTCTGCGATTTTTAATTATTATCTTTTGAAATTTATTTTATTGTATTAATTTTATTAATTGTACTTCATCAATTGTAATTATACGTTCATTCATTGTAGAAATGCATTTGAAAAGGACCTAATACAAGGGTCGAAAGCGTTCATGCT